CCCCCAAATCCAAGTCCCCAAACCCCAAATCCAGAATCCAGGCCCAGGCCCTCCAAGCCCAGGCCCCAGACCCCAGGCCCCCAGGCCCACCCCAAGGCCCAGTCCCAAATCCAGGCCCCAGACCCAGGCTCCACCCCAAATCCGGCCCAGGCCCCAGACCCCAAATCCAGGCCCAGTCCCAAATCCAGGCCCAAGGCCTCAAATCCAGGTTCCACACCCCCAAATCAAGGCACCGGCCCCAAATCCAGGTTCCAGACCCAAATCCAGGTCCAGTTCCAAATCCAAGCTCCAAATCCAAGCTCCAGACCCCAAATCCAGGCCCAGTCCCAAATCCAGGCCCCAGGCCCAGCCCCCCCCCCAGGCAAATTTCAAAACATGGTTCCAAAATCAAAACTCTTGTCAAAACGTTTCGGTCAAAACTTTCGGTCAAAACTTTCGGTCAAAACGTTATTGGCACCCAAACCCTTAACAATTTCTATAAATTTAGAAGGCGCAGGCGCCAAGATGCTACAGCGTAGTTTGTTGGTTTGACAGTAGAATGGAAGCAGAAAGCACGAAATTCTCCTACGAAAGCCCGAAATCCTCTCCACGAAGGCCCGGAAGTTGGCACAACCAAGTAGGAGAATTTAAGTAAATTGGAGGATGGACCCCCGACAAAAGGTTTAAGTAAATTGAGGTAATATGGCCCTGTCAAGGCACTGGAGGACATCAGATGGCAAGCTTTGTGAGCCATTTTGCCTGGAGGCCAGCAAAAAAAGATTTTCTTCAGCTGACAACCAGCCACCAACAGCCTCCTGGGGCAAGCTTTGCGAGCCATTTCGCCTGGAGGCCAACAAAAAAAGATCTTTTTCAGCTGACAACTAGCCACAAACAGCCTCCTGAAACAAGCTTTGTGAGCCATTTCGCCTGGAGGCCAACGAAACAAGATTTTCTTCGGCTGACAACCAGCCACAAACAGCCTCCTGGGCAAGCTTTGTGAGCCATTTCGCCTGCAGGCCAATAAAAAAAGATTTTCTTCAGCTGACAACCAGCCACAAAACAGCCTCCTGGGGCAAGCTTTGCGAGCCATGTCGCCGGAGGCCAATAAAAAAAGATGTTCTTCAGCTGACAACCAGCCACAAAACGGCCTCCTGGCGCAAGCTTTGAGAGCCATTTCGCCTGCAGGCCAACAAAAAAAGATTTTCTTCAGCTGACAACCAGCCACAAACAGCCTCCTGGGGCAAGCTTTGCGAGCCATTTCGCCTGGAGGCCACTAAAAAAAGATTTTCTTCAGCTGACAACCAGCCAGAAACAGCCTCCTGGGGCAAGCTTTGTGAGCCATTTCGCCTGGAGGCCACTAAAAAAAGATTTTCTTCAGCTGACAACCAGCCACAAACAGCCTCCTGGGGCAAGCACAGAGCAGGATAAATAGAAATTGTATTTGCCACACCGTTGGGAAGCACCAAGATGCCAGCAAACAGTGCAGAACAAAAACACACCATTTTGTTAACCCTTGTTGTTGTGCTCAACATCCTTGAAACAAGAAGTCAAGAACCAGTGCAGAAAAAAAAGCCCCATTGTGTTAGTCCTAGTTGTCGTGCTCAACATTCTTAAAACAAGAAGCCAAGAACCAGTGCAGAAAAAAAGCCCCATTTTGTTAGTCCTCGTTGTCGTGCTCAACATCCTTAAAACAAGAAGCCAAGAACCAGTGCAGAGAAAAAAAACCATTTTGTTAGTCCTGGTTGTCGTGCTCAACATCCTTGAAACAAGAAGCCAAGAACCAGTGCAGAAAAAAAAGCCCCATTGTGTTAGTCCTAGTTGTCGTGCTCAACATTCTTAAAACAAGAAGCCAAGAACCAGTGCAGAAAAAAAGCCCCATTTTGTTAGTCCTCGTTGTCGTGCTCAACATCCTTAAAACAAGAAGCCAAGAACCAGTGCAGAGAAAAAAAACCATTTTGTTAGTCCTGGTTGTCGTGCTCAACATCCTTGAAACAAGAAGCCAACAACCGGCCCCTTTCCCCACCGGACCTCTCACGATTGACACCTGCTGTCAATCTGGCAAGGGAGTGTGACAGCCATCCGCCGGGAGGGTCCAGAGCTACTGACAATCCAAAGGGGCAAACGGCCAGCAAGGGAGTGTGACAGCCATTCGCCCCCTTTCCACCAAGCTCCACCCAGATTGCCACCAGCTGACAATCTGAAGCCCTGAAGATTGCCACCTGCTGACAATCCAAAGGGGCAACCGGCCAGCAAGGGAGTGTGACAGCCATCCGCCCCCTTTCCACCAACCCCCACCACGATTGCCACCTAGTGGCAATCTATACCCCCTTAAGATTGCCACCTGCTGACAATCCAAAGGGGCAACCGGCCAGCAAGGGAGTGTGACAGCCATCCGCCCCCTTTCCACCAACCCCCACCACGATTGCCACCTATTGGCAATCTGTACCCCCTTAAGATTGCCACCTGTTGGCAATCTGTACCCCCCTAATATTGCCACCTGCTGACAATCTAGATCCCCTGTGATTGCCACTTCTTGGCAATCTGTACCCCCTTAAGATTGCCACCTGTTGGCAATCTGTACCCCCCTAAGATTGCCACCTGCTGACAATCTAGATCCCCTGTGATTGCCACCTGTTGGCCATCTGTACCCCCCTACGATTGCCGCCTTCTGACAATCTAGACCCCCTAAGATTGCCACCCCTTTGGGGCCTGGAGATTGTCACTCGGGGCCTGGCGATTGTCACTTTGGGGCCTGGAGATTGTCACCTGGGGCCTGGCGATTGTCACTTTGGGGCCTGGAGATTGTCACTCGGGGTCTGGGGATTGTAACTTTGGGGCCTGGAGATTGTCACCTGGGGCCTGGCGATTGTCACTTTGGGGCCTGGAGATTGTCACTTTGGGGCCTGGAGATTGTCACTTTGGCGTTGTGGGTGGCCTGGTTGCAAGTTTTTGCAGGTTTTGAGAGTTTTTTAAAGGCTCAGAGTGGTTTTAAAACGTTCTAAGTGGCTTCCGAAGTTATTTCAAAGGGCTTTAAGCAGTCTTGAAGCCGGGCAAAATTGACACCCACCGTCAATCTACGACCGCCCGGGGACCAGGATTTCCCCGACCCGCGCGCGTACACACAATGCGCTTTTGGACCCTCCGCTCGCACCCCAAGGGGGGCATGCCAGGTGTCTTTTGGAAGCTAGTAATGGCGTTGAACTACAGCGACTGCTGTACGCGCCAGTTCACTAGCGAAGCGGCCTCCAAATACCTAAAAAGAGCCGAGGTGCCTTCCTTGAGCATTCCAAAAGTTGGCTACGGTCATACTTTTGGGATGTGTGCCACGGACGCGCTTTGCGCGAGGATCGGTTTGTTTTCCTCAGTGCCAAGGGCCAAGGGGGCTTCCCATTGAGCCTGTCAACGGGAACGCGTGTACTCGCTCGCGGGTGCGCGTTACTACCGGGGATCCGATCTATCTCCAATCGGTGAACACATATGGGCGAAGGATGTTTCAATCCGACCAGAAACATCGGGGAAGCAGGGAGCGTGTGCTGCGGGACATTCTCTTATAAGGCACCTAAAATAAGGCCATCCCAGTACTAAGTACGCTGGGGGGTGCCTTCGAAGACCTTCACACTCTCATACTTCCCACGCATGCATTCACTGAACATGCCAAGCCAAGGACTGATTTTTGGTGCAAGCGACTCGGCTGGAATTAAACACGTGCATGTCCACGGCCATCATCAACATATATGTTAACTCAACATGTGCTCGCCCAGGCATTGCTCTGGTGGTCGCAACTCGGCTGCAATCAAACATGTCCACGTCTAGAGCGTGCTTGCGTCATGCTGGCGTCATGCTTGCATCAATTTCCCTGCCGAAGCCAAGGCGCGGTCAGATGAGGCGAGAGCCGCCTCCAGACTGCATCTAGAATCTAGACGCAAACCTCGAGTCCGCACAAGCCTTTCAGGGAGTTTTCAAGGGTTAGTCTGGCAGAATTGCCTCGCTTATTGGGGCTTTGGGAATGAAAACCTCTTGGAGAATTGTTTCGCTTATTGGGGCGTTAGGAAGGAAAACCTCTTGCAGAATTGTTTCGCTTATTGGGGCGCTAGTAAAGAAAATCTCTGGCAGAATTGCTTCGCTTATTGGAGCTTTTGGAATGAAAAACTCTTGCAGAATTGTTTCGCTTATTGGGGCGTTAGGAACCAAATTCTCTGGCAGAATTGTTTCGCTTATTGGGGCTTCAGGAATGAAAACGTCTTGTAGAATTGTTTCGCTTATTGGGGCGTTAGGAACCAAATTCTCTGGCAGAATTGTTTCGCTTATTGGGGCTTCCGGAATGAAATCCTCTTGCAGAATTGTTTCGCTTATTGGGGCGTTTGGAAGCAAAACCTCTCGCGGAATTGTTTCGCTTATTGGGGTGTTAGGAGCGGATATCTCTTGCTGAAGTGCGTCGTTTAGTGGGGAATTTGCTCTACGGGGTTCTTTCTGGCACACTCTTATCCGTAACAAATCGTACTCCCGGGTCTTGGTGATTCTTTCTGGCCCATTCTTATCCGAGGCAAGGAAAATAGACACCAAGTGTCAAGATCTGGGGGCTCCACTGCCACGCGGGGAGTGTAACGCATCGGGCGGGCTTTCCGGCCGGAAGGCGTGGGACGGCATCGGATATCGGCTGGCTTGAGTTGGACGGTCTGTACAAGAAGAACCGCTGCCTTGTTCGAGACAGCCCCGGCCTATTTAACTAGGTGGTAGTGATTGAGACGGGACGCCATGGAAGGAGCGGTAAAATTGCTTGGAACCAACTGCAAGCCAACGTCGCTGCCATCGTGCCTGCAGTGCGAGCAAGCACACTAGCACTCGCCTGCACCGCAGCCCAATTCGTGCTCAAGAGCATCAAAATAAAGCAAAAGTTCCGCAGCTTCCAGCGACAATCTAGGCCGAAGCTGCTTCGGACAGCAAGAGGGAAGGAATGGCAGCATAAGCTTCTCCGCCGGCCCTGCAGGTCAAATCGAAATGTACCCGAGCAACCGGCGCCGATGGGCCGACGTCGAGGACGAGGAGGAACAGGTGGCATGAAGCAAGCTAGCAGTCAAGGCGTACGGCGTACAGACTCTCCCGCACTCAGTCCCTGTCTTCCTGTTTCCAACCAAGGACCAACAGCAGAGAAACCGGGGGAGAGAGAGAGAGCGAGTGAACAAAACGGCAGAGACGAAGACAGACAGATCGCCAGATCTTGCCGCGCACAGGGGGCGGGATGGTGCTTCGACTTTGAGGCGTTCAAGAAGCAATACCTGGCAACGCAGTGCGCCCTGACGCTGAAGACGCCCGTCCCCGTCCCAGAACTTCATTAGAACACAATGCATGCAACCGCTAGCCCATAAATAGCATTGCTCCTGCACGAAACCTAACGAGGCCGGAATGATCAAAATCGACGAGGCGATTGCTTGCGGGCCTCGAACAGCAATCAACACAATGTGCCCGGACCGAGGCATGGAAGACGCATCCGACGACCTCCCGGACACGAAGGTCGGCCCATCGCCCAAGTGGACAGCAACGGGTGCACCGACGCAAGAAGGCACCGCCCTTGCAAACGCTTGAAAGACTCAGATACTTTGCAATCAGTCTGCAGGCACCCGCGCCGACACTACCGAAGCCAACACAGTGGACAGCCGAGGACGATTCCGCACTCGAAGATGCTTTCCAACTGGCAGAGGCGCGGGATGCAGCAACATCCGGGTGACCGAGTGTTCATTCCGAGCAGCTGCAGGCCGAAAGGGCCACTGCGAGAGCTTCCTCGCACGAATGCAGCGACACAAGCGCTGCAACAGCACGGCCGGAGCGGCATCGCCGCACGGCACGGCGACGGAGACAGGCAACGACCAACGTGAATGACACGCAAAACGTCAGGCCCAGCAGCAGCACCGAGGCGGGCTCGCCTATTATTTTGGCTGCGCGTAGAAGCATTTCACTGCCCAGCCATCTGGGCCGCTTGTGAGGTTCCCTTCAGCTTGGCGTATCTGCTCTCGAGCACGGGGCTCGGAGCCATTCTGTTCCCATTCTCCAGATCGCATCAGTTCAATTTGATTTTCATTGCTTCCAAGGTCATCCGAGATTGCATCCCGACAACCGTGATGACGCAATGGTCATAAGTACGTGGACGATGGGTCGCAGACAGCGGAATCGGCTGCAGCATGCCAGTGCCTGAAGAAGTGCCGCAAGCACATACTGAAGCACGGTGTAACCTTTCCAGATGGTGAAGGCGTGTCCTGCGAGGCTCTTTGTGGCAACACGGCCTCTGCGGACGAGTGCCAGGCTTGGGCACCGACCGCCAGAGTTGGCAACTAGAACTCTGCATGTTCGGCACCTCGATGTAGCAATCGCACAGGCCGCGACAGCAATGTGCAGTTCCAGCACCAGCGAGGCAAATCCTATGGCCATCAATCCTGTGTCGATCTTGCAGGGATCGCGAAGCTCGTTTACTTATTCACTCGGACGTTCTGCCCTTCCCACGCAGATGACCGCTGCTCCGGACACAACCTTCTTGCAGGTAGTGAAAATGGTTGCGGACGGCAACTGCTTGTTCCACGCGCTGGTCCATGCACACAGCCTGGTCCGGAAAGATGACGACAAGCGCCCTCGTCCAGACCTTGGAGCAGCCCTCCGCCAGGAAGTGATAAGTTTCCTGACCGCCAATGCGTTCGAGCAGGGCGACTTCGCGGAGAATTGGTTGGAAGAGGCGGAGCACCTGGAAAGAGGACCGGAAGAGGCCTGGGCTGGCAACGACTCTATCTTGGCGTTCTCCCTTATGAAGAAATGCCGTGTACAAGTGCACACACGCCATCTCGACGGCCCCACCGTCACCGCGATGGACGCAACCCATCAAGATCTTCAAGATTCCGCTGGATTGACCGTGGTTCGTCTACTCTACAACGGCAAAGACCATTACGATGCATTGGTGGAGGCCGAAGACGTGGGACTGCTAGAGCCCGCTTGGCAAGGTCAGACGTGGCCGATGAGGTACTGGCGACTGCCGGAAGAGCTGCCCCCGCAAGATATCGACGATGCGTTGCCGGCGATCAAGAAGACCAGATCGGTGGAAACCGTCACTTCGCCCGAGCTTCCCGACAGCACCGACGACATCCTGGACGAAGTGTGCAAGGCGATCGTGGCGCCGGCATCCACCCATCCGCATCGCCAAATGGAGGATGCCATTACGAAGCTGGCGACGACCAGGCTTCGGGACCATCCCACACTCCCACCTCTTGCCCTGCCGGAAGAAGTGGATGCGGGCGAAGCGTGGCCCCATGCTTTCTGTGCGTTCAGCGGCTGTTTGTGGACGGCCAGAACGGGCACGGAGGACGACCTGCTTCAGCACCTCCTCGAGCAGCATGGCCCCGACCTTGATCCACTGGCAAATCTTCTGTGGAATGGCCATGACGAGCACGATCTGCTCAGCATCTACAATGCCGCTCTTAGCGTCAAGTGCCGCTCGGCCGCTCCCCTGGCGGGCAGCTCGCTCGACCGGATCGCCCTGGAAAAGTTCGCAGAGGCGACTGCTGAGGACCACGTGGAATCCCTGATCTGCTTCTCGTGCGCTTGCAGCTACACGCGCATCGCAGAGACGGAAGCTCGGGGCGACATCCAGTGGCACCGCCCTCTGGAGCAGACGAACAAGTTCCTCGGCCAGCCCGTGAAGGTCATCGAGCAGCTCCTGGGATTGGACCAGTTCCTTGGAAAGTACAACCATCTGGTCGAAAACACGAAGTTAACCGACTCCGAGGACTTCGAGAATTGGCACCTCAAACTGGCAGGGGAAGCACAGCACGTTCGCTTGCTTTGCTGCCCCGAAGATCACAGATGCACAAGGAATCCAGAGCATCCCCGCGCCAGAGTTCTCTGCGAGCATTGCGAGGTGCCGGTTTGTCGCGGTTGCCTGGACTGCTTGAGCAGGAAGAAGCTGCCTCCGGCGAGCCTCGCAAATGACATGTGGACAGGTTACGGCCCCGAAAGGCTTTACCAGGACAACGTGACGGTCATGGAAATGTTGTGTTCCAGTCCCTACATCACGACCCTCGTTTGCTTGACGATGGAGGCTCGCTACCGGGCGGAGGGAGCGCCCTTGGACCAGACGGCTCACATGCCGCGCCATCGTTTGGGCGCCCGCGGCAATGCGATTACCTTTCCTTTGCCTTGGGAGGACCTGCTTCGTAAGCTGGAGGGCCAGGACACCAGCCCTTCCGACTTACCCCGGAACCCCAACGAGCTCTCCGACGTCGTCCGGGTGATCCTCAAGACCAACAAGACGGGCCAGACTTCCGAGGCGGACTTGAAGAACTTGATTCACCAGGCAAGAGTCCGGCGGCACGTGGTGGTGCAGCTCATCTTGGACATGCGCCGTTGTGGACACCCTTCCTTCCAAGAAATCAAAGAAGAGAAAATGAGGGAGAAGGCAAGCTCGCTGCCGGAGGACGGTGTGCCGCCCGAAGTCGTGAAGATCTTCGGCGAGCTGGACGACTCGCAGGAGAAGCTGCAGCCGCAGAAAGCCGCCACGCCGGTTGACGGCCTCAGGAGCATCGATCAGGCAGGGAAACTATAACGAGAATTTGTCAGCGGCAGAGTCTTGGAGCAAGCAAACCGGTTTGTCAATTGAGCAGCGTGCATCCTGCAGTCAGGCCGGCGCCACCTTCTCGGCGCAGCGGCCGCGAGCCATCGTGGCGGAGGGCAGCAGCCTCGACCGACAGGACCAGAATGCCGTGGGCATGGCAGCTCTCACAAGTTTGGAGGCAGTGGACAAGATTGCAGAGAGGAAAGCAGAGACCTTGGTGGCGACCACGGGGAACGTTCTCGTCGACCAGTTCCAGCCCCGCTACTTCGCCATGGCCTTCGCCTTCTGCTTCAAGCACGGCACCGCGTGTCCAGACGTCCTCAACAAGAAGAACCCATCGGTCAGTCGGAGGCGTCAGAAGGATTCCGCTGCCCCGACCGTCGACATCCACGACTGGGCTGCCATCATGGGCCGCCGAGTGGAAGCCCAGTTCCGTCGAGACTGGAACTTCGGCTTCGTTCTGTGGAACTATCTCTTTCGGACGATGGTGAACTTGGATGGCAGCACCTCCTTGTACTCCCAAGGCGGCAAGAAGATCACAGGCGAGGAGTTCCTTCAGGGGTCGACGGAGCTTCGAGAGCATCTGCAGCGCGGGAAGTACGTGGACATCACCGGCGCCCAGAAGAGCGTGCAAGGCGACTTCTCCAAAGTCCAGCACGTGCCGGGACTATCGGCTACTGCGAAAAAGATAGCGCAGGACGTCAACGCCAAGTGCCGCAACATCCCAGGGACCCACGAGACCAGGAACCTCATGCGGCAGCAGACCCACGCGTACAGAGTGTGTTATGGCACTTCCGTCTTCCTGACCTTTCGCCCTCGGAGAGGGATTCCACGCTGATGCTGAGGCTAGCGAGAACTCGAGACACGGACCCCGCCCTGCAGCAGAGCGGCAAGCCGACTTGTCAGGAAAGGAGCCAACCGCCGCTGGACGAGGATTTCATGGAGCTGGACCCTCAGGTGCTGGCCACAATCCTGCCAGACTACGACGAGCGGAGGGCGATCCTGGCCAGAGACCCTCTTGCCTGTGCTGATGGCTTCTGGACGTTGGTGCAGTTGGTCTTGCGGCATCTCTTCGGGATTCGCTGGTGCCCAAACTGTCCGAGCTGCGCCAAGTCGGACAAGCCCTGCACGGACGCGTTCGGGAGCAATGCCACGGCCATGGGCGGAGTACTGGGCAGAGTGGATGCAGCCTTCGGTTCCATCGAATGCCAGAGGAGCGGCGCTCTACACGCTCACTTCCAAGTGTTCCTGCAGTGCCTCCACCAGTACACGCCCCTCTCGGAGATCGTGGCGCTGGGCAGAGAAGCTTACATGGATTTGGTGGAGAAGTACAAGGCCTACAACGCCCACGTGAGGCGCACCGTGTACTGCAATCCGGCGGCCTGGCAGAAGGAGCGCGACACCGTGGAAAAGGAATGGCCGGAGTACCGGAGCTCAGTCCTCATGCTCAGTCGGCCCGCTTATCAAAGCGATGCCCGGCTCTCCGCGAAAGCCTGGAAACAGAAACACTTGGAGGAGGACGTGGAGGAGCTCCAGAAGCACAAGCAGCACCACGTTCATTTGCCCAAGGACACGGATCCGCAAGGGCCCAGACTTCCACTCTCGCATTGCCGCGATAAGCGGGACCCGACGAAGTGCAAGTCCGGCTTCCCGCACAACAACCAGCTGACCGAGGAGACCTTGATCGTTTGCGAAGGACTGGCCAAGCAGATGGACATGCCCATCAAAGGCAAGAAAAGCATGCTC